GGGCAACCAACGGCGGCAACACAGACAAGAGCAAGGAGGTTTGTCTCGGGCTAGAAGACACAGCTGGAGGGGAAGGGACAACCTACTGGAGTGACTCGAATGATCGGCTGAAGCAACTTGAGGGGAAATTGCGGCTGCTGGGAGAGCCGGGCGGTTGCTTGGACTAGCTAGGAGGGGTGTTGGAAGGTGGTCGACGCTCCGGAAAACAGCGAAAAGGGGAGTCTTGCTGGACAACAGTAAGGTGGCGGCCTGTTGGAGTGGTAGGCAAGCTGGAGGGCAGGTCTTGGGGGTTGGATAACAAGTTTTGGGGGGGGGCAAACAACACTTTGGGAAGACGTGACAACAGTTGGGAAGGGTGGACAACATGTGAGCAGAAGGAGCAGTAAGCGGGAAGGCTAGACAACAAGTGGGGATGATTGGACAACAGTGAAAATTGTCGGACAACAGGCTGGGATGCTGTATGGGTGGCTGGGCACTGCTGGGAGGCTTGCAACTGAGCAGGAGGGTGGAGGTAGGGCTGGACAGGAAAAATGAACAAGATACACCACCTCGGAGTAGGATTCAGTTGGAGCACCACCGCCCCCTCCGATACAACCCTAGAATAGGGGAAACACTCCACACAGGAATCTGAACTCAGAATGATCACCAAAACTGAATTCCCTAAGCAAAACACACTTATATTAGACAATGTTGTAAAATAACAAAAAAATTATTAAGGAAAAAATTAGAAATTGACAATGCTTGTAAAATGAGAAAGAGCTTAGATAGGGAAGAAATAGAGGCAATGAATTATAATAGGAGATTAATGAGAAAAGAAAAGAAATAATTGGAGGGAAAAGGAAGGGGGGCGACAATTCCAGCCTCCCCAGGAGGGCCGATTGGTCCAATAGAAGGTTGGACCAGCTGAACCAGGCCTAGCTAGGCCGATTTGGCCAGCCTCCTCAAGCAACCCAGCATCAAGAAGAATCAAAGAAAATAGATCAAAGGGACTTGAACATCAAAAGACTAACAAGGTTTCTTAAGGCTCTAATTTTTTTAGTTTGTAATTTCATTACTTTCAGTTGCTTGTGCATCATCCCCCACTCTCTTCAATTTATTTCACAGCAAACATCACTAAAAGGACTTTTATGATCATAATATGATAAAGATAAACTAAACTTGAGTTCATTATTTTAAGGCCTACCTTCATAAATTGTGAAAGAAAAATCATATTGTTTAACTTTATACTTCATTATAATCAAGGTATCCCCATAACCCTAATTAAAAACTATTTTATGTCTCAAAGAAACAAGTAACTCATAATTTTAGTAAATAAATACCCCTTGTACATTTAGAATTAGAGAGGAAGTGTGGTCATACTCATCCTTCTCAATTATGGATCCAAAATGCAGGACATAAAATAATATGCAATTATCAAATTCAAGATCAAGCAGTATCAAAACATAGACTTTTATCTTCTTATAAGTGATGAGGTATTAAACATAATAAAAACATGGGTGACCAATTTCCAATTTAATGAAAAAAATAGAGCCAACAATGCAAGTACAGAAGGGAGAGTTAAAAATTAAAATTGACAAATTACATGGCCTTATAATCAACCTTAGAATAGATACATAGAGACACCAAACCCATAACAAAGTTTTCTCTATTAGCTATCATCCACTTGACAAGAGGGAATGTTCATAGTAAGAGGATAGTACAATGGAAGCATTAATTGACAACGAGGGATGAGAAGAGAATCCCCACTATCTCAAGCACAAACTTCCATTAAGAGTGGATGCAAGTCAAATATATCTAAATAAAATTGCAAAATCAATGTGATGAAGGTGAATAACAAAGTTAATTTTCAAGAAAACTTCTAAAATCTCTGTCAGTACTTTCTCTATTTTCATCCTACAAGAAGAAAAGGAGAAGAGATGGAAATTTTGAGAGAAAACAATAGGTTGTCCGGTAATGAAAGAATAAAAAGGAAAGAAGGATGTTATATGAGGAAAAGTTAAAAAAAAAACAGAGAGAGAGAGAGATTAAAGGACTTCAATATTAAAAGGTACATAAGGAGGTTTAGTCTATAATTCTCACTAGTTTGTAATTTACTTATTTCACTCGTTAATGCTTCATATCTACCCTCTGTCTGATTTCACATATATCCTCACTAAAAGATCATTTAACCAATCATAACACAATAGGATAGCCTAACAAAGCATTTATATTTATAAGGCCGCCAGAGTAAACCCTATATAGATTATGGCATAGTTTTCCTATCACACTTCATTTTCTAATCAAGCTTACCACCATAGTCTTAGTTAACATCTATCGTTGCCTTAAAAATCAATGAAACTCATAACCACGATACTTGAGACATACACCACCCTCCTTTTCATCTAGTTTGAGAGAAAAAAATAGTTATAATGATCCAAGAAGATCTCAAAGATTCTGGTATTCTTTCAATAACGAACTTTGGCCATAAGCTCGTTCTTGGGTATGGTCCATCTATAGAACCAAAAACTAGACTCTATGGAGATTGATTAAACTTGAAAGAGTACTTGGATTTCTATGAAAACTATCATAGGTGTGGATGGCTTGATTTAGCTGCAAATTGAAGCAATTTTTACTCTGAGAATATGGAGAATTATGGTTGCAACTTTTGACAGTTGACAGGGGAATCCAAGATCTTTCACATATCAAAGGCAATGACATTGCTCTTGCACACATTTATTATGTGATGGTTCACTGATTTTGGAGGGTGAGAAATGCCAGGAAACATGGAAGAAGTTTTGGTACAACTACCATCCTTGCTGCCACTATTCTAGAGTTGTTCAACATGATGTACGTCTATTCTCTTTAGCGGCGCAGGGACACTACCTGGCCACATAGGTTGTCTCCCTACCCTGTTTGGTGTCCCCCCTACTCCGGAGTGGTTTAAGGTTAATGTCAATGAGGCCCTTAATCCTTCACATATAGCCAGCATGGGGGTGACTATATGTGATGAAAGGGGTGTTAATTTAATAGCAGCTGAAGCACAGATGGAGCATTGAGACAATCTTCAGGTTGAACATAGGGCATACTTTGCATCAGAGATAATATGGAGCCGTATATGTTGGAAGTCAAAGGGATTATTATTGAGAGTGATAGTATGAACATTATCAGCTTTCTTTGGCTGATTATGTAGGATAGAGTCTGGAAGATGCTATTTCAATATACATCCAAAGAGAATAAAAACGCAGCCCATTGCTGCACAAATAGCATTACAGGATAGCTTTTTGCTCAAAATGTATATGCATTACATGCTTTTTTTCCTCAGGGATGATAGATCACATTATGTACATGCTTAGTGGCATCTTTTGTATTTTTCTTTTATAGTTTAAATAAAAATTGCAAGCTTTAAGGAGGGATTGTTCTCACATAAGAAAAACTCCAAAAATACTATGTGATGTCTGATTCAATCTCCATTATATCAACTAGTTCCAATGTTGACTAGACATTAGTTTGTATCCTGACTTTGAGGATGATTAACCATGGAGGGCAACTAGCATGGCTATAGAAGATATGCTTCTGCATTATGGAAGTAATCTCTTATGATAGACCGAACATACCTTGTCCATGACATCTTATCTAGCCAGTAGTTTCAAGATAGATTAGAAGTTTGTAGAGTTTATTTAGTTCCTTTATAGTACATATCATCACTATTTATCCATACATAGCAGCCCATATACACTTATTTAAGCAATAAAAACGGAGTGCCATTCTTCTTGAAACCAACCACCATTCCTCTCTTACTAGCTATATTTCAGACTGAGGAAGGGGAATTGAACCCAACTTCATTAATGTGGCTTATTTCAAACCTAGGAACATCTTGAGGATGTGGAAAAGAGTGACGTGATCCCAACATATTGAAACAACTTGGTATCATGAAGAACCAAGTACAATCTCTCTATTTGACCTCCTATTTTAGCCTTAGATTTATTTTTCCTTAATTTAATCCACCCAAGTTCCATCTTCGCAGCAATGATAGCTCGAGCACCTTCTGAACCAAAAACTCCAATCATAACAAGTGATAATCATCTCCAAGAGAATAGATACAGCACAAAGGTTATTGTAATAGAAAGATGAGAAAGACAGAAGAAGACCATAAAGTGACCAATGAAGAAAAAGACGTTACACCTTTTGAAAGGAAAACATCGAAGGAAGCAAAGCACCACCCTTTCAAGTTGGGGACAAAGCTAGACTTACTATCTAATGATTGAATGATCAACAGAGATCAAATCGCTTGAATGATCACACAGATCACATTGCAATTGATTTGAGCATGTAGAAACTATTATTCTATTTAGAATTAGTCCACTGTACCATTAACTTCCATTTGAAACTTACATCATAAGCACTTATATAATAGACATTCTATGTAAAAGCCTATGATATTGTAAGGTTGAGTTGTGACAGGTTCAAATGACACTTGATGAGTTTTTTAGAGCCAACCAATTATGGAAACAATGTGGATCAAATGACAACAACTCAAGCAAAGATATAAATAGTTCACAATTTGTATAAGACCATACCATGTAGTTTCATCATAAGCACTTATGCAATTTAAAAATTTGGCCTTTGTATGCATAAAATTATGTTGTTTATAAGTAAATTCCCCTAAAAAACAATTACCCCATTCTTACTCTAGAATATAAATTTTCAAGCAACAAAAAGCTGGTATGTTTAAATAATTAGCCTTTTTACCACTGACCAATCAGATGCTGCATTCAGACAAGACTTTTGGAACTTAAACTCAAGTTATACGCCTCCTTCTCCTCCACAAAACAAATTGGAAAAACACCGAGCATCCAATCCACACATATCTCCAATCAAAGAAGAGAAATCAAACGATTCATGAAAAACAAATCTAACGGGAAACACCAAACCCTAACCCTATCAATCCAACAAGTACCAACAGCAAAGATCGAAATAAAACAAAAAATGTATGAACTGGGGAAAAGGAAAGAACAATTTACATCAGATGCTGAATGTTTCTGATGGATTCAACATCCTCAGTCTTGATTAGGGTTTTGAATTGACCGGCAAGCTCCTCCGACGCCGCTCTGATAGCCTCCGCCTCCGCTTCCGCCATCTTTCTCCGGCCTCTACATTTGCCAGAGACCGAGCCTCTTTCTCAAACAGCCCAATTCCTCCAAATGGGCCGAAAAGCCCACTGGCTAGATTTGATAGCCTGTCGCCAAAGCGCTACTCGAACCCTGAAAATAACCGTTTTTAGGGCTTTTAAGATTTTGATATAATACGGCCCTTCCATCATCATAAGTTCTATTCATAAATTGTAGTTATAATTTTATAAATCTTTACTTATCTTTTATTTTTACTGTGTGGCTTCAAATGTATATAAGTAATTCAATTTCATTATATTTATGGTCTATTTGGGGCAGCGGTGCAGTTTCGTTTTCAAAATGCACCGCAGTTTTGCCTGTTTGAGTAAAATTACGATTTGACTGTTTTTTCAAAAAAATTGTGTTTGCAGACTGCTGAAATTAGCGTTTTCACACCAGACCTGACAAAATGTGGTGATAGCTTTTTAGCTACAGTCTGACTTTTTCACTTCAGCTTTTTGAACAAAAGATTATTTTTCAACAATTTCATAACTGCTTTTTAATAAGTTGTGGTTACCCCAAACAAACCGTGTAATTTTATATTATATATAAATAGAGAACAAGAAGGAATATAAAAATAACTATGATTATTGAAAATGCAATAACATTTGAAAGTTGTACTCCTCTTTTCTTTTATATTTCTCAACTTCTTCGAGTCTTTTATGAATCTATTGTCGCATTTCTCTATATCTAAATTAATATTGTAATTCTACTATTGTTCAAGATTTATTATATGCAACATGTCAAAATGATGATTTGTGTGGTGATGAACATCAATTTCAATGCATTTATGAAGTTCTTCATGTTATGTTCTTCTAATCTCCACCAAGTAAGTCCATTCTCTTCTCATGGTTCACAATTAGCCTTTTACTAGGTTCTAATACCTAAATAAATCTAGCATTCATTATTTTACTTTTAAAACAATACACAATCATCTGAACCTCTATTTGTTAATATTATTATATTATTTTTATTTGCAAAATTATTTTATATATCCAAAATGAGGCAATCATATAACCTCACAGTTGATATTCCCCATATTTATTATTCTAAAATCTTCTCTTAAAAATCATTTCAAATTACTTAAAATTTTCCATAACATTTACGAGAAATTTAAATTTACAATCAGTTCCACTAAATTCTTTTGTAAATTATAATAATATGATCACTAACCTCATCCTTGTTTTATACATAATTTCATCATTGTTGGTGATCCTCTCATTTTTTTCTTAGATGACCCATATTTAATTTTATTTTGCTCTATCTAATTTTATCTTCAATAAAACTTTTTATTATATAAATCTTTTAATTAAGGTTGTTAGTTTTATCCATTTTATAAGTCATTCCCCACACACACTCTCTCTATTTTCTGTAGTAGTTATGAGCCTATATAACCATGTGGCTATAGAAAAGGTTCATTTCACATTTCTTAATGTTAATAAGCCTTGTCGTCATTTAACTCAAACTGAACATGTCAAAACTTGAACAAAATAGCATATAAATCTTCTACTTTTTAGACTACTTTAACTCTTGCTTTATTGTTGATTGCATTACTCAAAACTTTCCAAGCAACAATATCACCAACTACAAAGTCAAGTACAATTCTCACCACTCTTTGTGAGGATTTGAGTTATATACCATTGATCACATTGACCTTACCTCTCTATGCTTCTTAATCTTATATGTCATTATCATAAGCATTGTTAATGCATCTTAGCATAATTACACTATTCTTATTATTGATATTTATGCATCCTTTAAAGTAATTCTTGGTATATTTCAAATTCTTTTGTTTACTAAAATGAGTCATAATGAAGTTAATAAAATTCTAAAAAAATTTAAAAAATTGAAGCTGAAAATTGCAATGAGTCTTTTTTCTAAAGATAACCAATTCTTTAAAATTCATCCAATAGAGTGGTTTATAAAATTTTGAATGATAATTACCCAAAGTAGAAAAAAATAAATATTAATAAATTCTTAATTTTACATAAATAATACTTTGGGAATTTTAATAAGTTTTTTTATTGAATGAACTTGACATATATAAGAAATGTTTAATAGATGATTAATAATTAAGTAGCACCAAATTTCTAAAATTAGGGCTAAGAAAATAAATTATTTAAACTTTTGATTAAAAAAGATTTCACTAAAATAATAATATTTCTACTTGGATAAAATATTAGGGAGTTAGGCATGAAAAGAATGGTGCAAAAGAAAAGTTTTAAAAATGTTTAATATTATATATGTTTACAAAAAAAATTGTAAGAAATAAAGTAGTTAAATATTGTATTAACACTATCACAAATGATAACATTTTACACAAAAGGAAATAATTTCTTATGTCAAAATAAAAATAAGAATGTTCCTTTTGCGGTAACGTGCAATTAAAATTTTGGAGAAAGAATGTACTAAAAGTGATAAATTTTAAGAAGATTAATTAGTTTTAATCAAAACATATCATAAAGTGAATCAATATAAAAGTTGTATGGGTTTCCCCTTGATATCCTTTCCCCTACTATCCTCTCTTTGCCACACCATCGACATGGAATTGCTTAAACATCTCTCCTAAGATGATGATATGCTCTCCTTCTCCAATTGCTTCTCCTTAATGTTTATATCTCTTAGCCTCATCAACTCTTCTTTGCCAAATCTTATTTAAAAAATTGGGCACTAGGTAAGGAGAATTGCAAGTGTCTGGGACCTTTCTAGAAGCTCCATATGCCTTCAAAAGCTGCATTGACCAAAAAATAAGGTTTACAAATGGACCCCCAATATGTGTGACGAACAACTCAAAGTATGATGCACATATTGGCGTTGAACGAAAGAATCGATGAGAGGATTTGCATTTGGATTTTTTGGGATTACAATTATGGGGTCCACTAGGGATTTTCAAATTTATTTGAACAAATTAGGATGAAAACCTTGTGGATTAACATCCAACCTAAAAGGTGAACAGCATGACTAAATCAAGAAGGATAACATTGGAGCATATTATTCAACCTAAAAAATACTTAGATAGAAAGATACTTATCTTAAGAGGAAGGCGCAAGGGCTTACATCCAACTTAAGACAGAAGATTTAAAATTTTGAATGTCTATGCTCAGGAGGAAAATATAAGAACTTACATCTCACTTAAGATGAAAAAATAATTAAGATTTGAAAACATCTATGTTCGGTAGGAAAACATAAAAGCTTACATCCCACCTACAACGAAAAAATAATTAAGATTTGAAAATGTCCATGCTCGACTGGAAAACAAAAAGACTTACATCTCACCGAATACAGAAAGATTTGAAATTTAAAAATGTCTATACTCGACAGGAAAGCATAAGGAATTACATCCCACCTTTGACAAAAAAAATCTAAGATTTGAAAACGTCTATGCTCGACAGAAAAGCATAACGACTTACATCCCACCTAAGATGGAAAGATTTAAGATTTGAAAATTTCTATGTTCGGCAGTAAAGCATAAGAACTATCCCACCTAAGACGGAAGGACTTATGATTTGAAATTTCTATGCTCGATAGGAATACATAAAGACTTACATCCTACCTAAGATGGAAAGATTTAAGATTTGAAAATGTCTATGCTCGACAGAAAAGGATAAGGACTTACATCCCACATAAAAAAGAAAAGATTTAAGATTTAAAAGACATACATGGACACATCGGCAAAAAAGAATATAATAACCTATTCTTTATCTAAGTAGTGTGCAAGGTGACTTGGCCAGAATAGATAATGGGTCTACACCAACAAGTCAGGTGCTAGATTAAAGTAGACAGTTTAGAGACTACCTACCCTAAGAGCTAATACATAACTTAGAAGTAATCCAACGAGCAATGGCTTCTAAAGGTTCTTCACAGTGTGGAATGACTATACCAGAAAAGTGCACCTACTCTATTGGGTTTGCAGAGTTAAGACATCACTTATTGAATCCTGTGCAAAGACTGAGGTCAATGAACCAAAACAGAGTTGTTAAGTTTGTTTTGTTGTTTGTTTGTTTTGATTTATTTTAGTTTATTTTTTAGGTTTTCGATGACTAAGACTAAGACTAAGAAATGTTCATAGCAAAAATATTGTTTGCATCAAGCTTAGTTCAATTTGGCAAGGTACTACTCCATCTTACTAAAAAAATATAACAAAAATAGCAAACCAAAAACTCCAAAGAGTGAGCACCAACCCATTTCCCCTAGTCCACACTAGATGGGTTTAACAATCCTTCCTAAGTGCGATGGCCATACTAGGACCGATCCTATATTGATAGATCCAAGGCACCAGTTATTGTTGAGGCTGATTTACTCAACAAAATAGACGAATCTAAGGAAGCATAGGGCTTTGGTATTTCATTGAGCCATACTGAGCTAAGAGATTTATCTTAACTCTGATTTACGTGCCTCAACACATTAACCCACGTTAGTAGCCACAACATGCTGATTAAGTTAATGAACTTATGTAACATGATAGAGCCACAAGGGCATACCCCAATTTTTGATAGATTTGTTGGTCAGATATGTGGAGTAGAATGGAATGGTCAAGGCCATACCAGATCTAAATGCCTTATCCCCAAGGATTCCAGCGACTGTGTTAGAAGAATATTAATTATTCTATAGATTTACTCAGCCACCATATGAACTGCATAACCAACCTTTTATCAATTAATGGTCCACAAGCCAGGGGAAAGGGGAAAAAAATAGGAAGGCATTCAATTGACTACAAAATTTAGACAGGTGCTCGACGACCTGACCCAAATTTACAAGTCAGCATTGCAGCATCGATTGAACCCAAAAATCCATCGACATCTCCTAGCCTTGCCACCTTAGGTGAATTGGTCCACTCCAACTCTAAGTGTGTCATTTCGACTCAGAGGCAGACAATGATTGAATCTAGCAATCAGTTACATAGACGTAACCCTTATCCTAGTTTTACTCAGTCAAGGTGTCATCTTGTTGGGGCCAGTTTGCCCAATCAAGAAGACCGGCTCAGAAGGAAGGAACAAAAGATATCTCTATTGGTTAGCAATAAGCTGAACTGAGAAAAAGCTCATCT